TTTGGGGGTTCTGGGAGTCTCAAAACGTGGAGATTTTCGAAAATAAAAACTCGGGGGGAGGATCAAATTTGACACGATTTAATACTTTTCCTTGTTACGTATACATAACAACCAGGAAAGTAAAATCAATTTATCTATAAATAAAAAAAATAGCAGTGATAGAATCATAGGTAATTTGAAACATAATCATAAAAATTTATATTTCAATAAGTGCAGGATGTTTGAAAAAACTATGTTACATCATTCTCCTAATTCTATTGTGCTATAACTAATAAGCTTCACATTGCATAATAAATAAATGTTATAAAATTAAATATAAAAAATGCACAAGGATATTTAACTAATCATGACTGTAATCTGAAATGTTATTTGTAATGTACTGTAATTAATTAACAAGAAAATACAACAAAATCCAGAATTAGATCAAATTTTGTGTTCAATAATTTTATCAATTATTATTCTTTAATGTTTATTGAATTATGTGTTATCTTAATGAAGCTTTTAGCTGTTATTGATATGAGATAATCTGTTACAAATTATTTCTGTTATGAATAATTTTATATCCTAAAATTTTATCAAAATATTTCTAGTGTAGAAAATTAAGATATTTTATTCTATAACAGAATGTAATGAATAAATTAGATTAGGTTATAACATTAGTTTCAATTTTTGTAATTACAAGCAATACTTGAAATACAATAATTTTCAAAAATTGCCATAAAAAGTATGTTTTCTTAATATATACTGTATATAGTAAAATATCAATATTTAGTAACTGGATCATGTGTTTTTAAAACTCTCTCTTCTAAAAAATATTTTAATTGTTTGTCAAAGTGCCAGCTTTTTTTTAAGCTGATTTTGAGGCTTTGTGGGCAGCCATTTTGATTAGAGACTTCTTCTGTTGGTTGAATAGGTTATAAATAAAAACTATAAATGTATTTTCAGAATTATGATTCTTGGATATTTTAACCCTGGTTTTCGTACATTGACGTTGCTTCTTGTTTTTAGCTTTTCCAATAGTCTATCCAACAGTTTTTGCCCCCGGGCCGAATTGGAAAGAAAACTTTTTTACAGACCAAGAAGCTTCCCTAGGAAGATTTTGTGGTGGTGCAAGATCTCGTTGTGGTGTCACCCCATAGAGACTAAATTGTACATAGAGATTACAAATACTTTTTCACATTATCATGCTTTATCAACATTCTACGCTGTTAAGAGATTTCTAATGGAGGGTTAACTCTAAACGCACAGTGAGTTATTGACCCCCCTTTTTTAAGGCATAAGAATTTTTTATCAAGCTATTCAAACTTGAGTAGCTAATATTGAAAGATTAATCGCAGGCCACATAAATTCATTAGATGGGCTGTATGTTGGCCATGCCTGGTCTATCTGCTCCTTCTGGGTTATTGCAGCTGATAGTGTATCCATTTTTTATTCTACATATTGTCTCAATCCCTACTCCGATTGATGACGGGTTAATCTTTTTTCTAGATTCTCCATGACTTCTTCAGCTTTATTTTCCTCAGTCAGATAAACCAGTACTACTCTATCACTTGGAGGACGAGGAGGCTTTTTACAGCCTCAGCATAGGTCTATTTTTTGGGGGTTGGCTGGCTCGTGAGTGCTAAAGTGCCAGAAGATTCATTGATTTTTTGTTTCAGCTGTCGATTCTCATCTACGACCACGCAGATTGCCGCCTTGAGCCTGTCGAACAGAAAAGAAACCTCTTTCAGGTCATAACAGGTTTTTTCCTTTAGAACTGTGCTAAAGTTTTGGCTTTGTTTGAGGGTGGACTTGGCAGCTTGAATAAGCTCTGTGAATCGTAGAAAAGATATTTTTATCATATAATTTTTGTTTGTAGTTCAATAAAAAGTTTACAGAAAAACTAAAATTCAGAATAAAGGTGAACATGATTAATACAGCATTCTTTTTTCATAATAAGTATTGTTAAACATGATTGGAAAATAAGTTTTGTCAACTTCCATTTGATATAAGTGTGGTTTTGTCAATAATTAGTAGACTTGTTCATTAAAATGTAAGTCAAAAAAACTAATAAACTAATGTATATATAAATACATACAGTAAGACCCCACTTAATGCTGCCTCAATTAACACTGATTCAATATAATGTGGTCTGCTCAAAGCAAAAACAAATAAAATAAAATAAAAAAATAAAGAAATTTATGCTGATTTAAATTATTGCAGCATTTTATTAATTCATATATAATTACGGTGACCATACGTCCTTTATTTCACTGCTCTGTCCTCTAACTTTATTTATTTTATAAAATAGGCATTTTGTCCTTTATTTTGTAAATTCAATGCAAAGTTTAAAACTTTTTAAATAATATATTGAAGAAGTTAGTTTCGTGTACGCCATCGCGATCAGTGTTGTCATCATGTCCATACGTTGCTACATAGAGCGCGGTAGTGCAGTGTGTCGCCAACTGAATGGCCCTTTGACAGTACCAAGGGGCGGACACTCTTATGGGGATTTTTGTGATAGTTTTTTAACTTTCTGGTTGGTGGATGATACACTTGGAGCGTTGGTGAGCATTCGTCGACACTTGTCGACAATCTTCGGGGGCTCGAGCATGTGACATATTTACTGTTAATGTGCTAAATAATTGGGACATGTGTTTTATTGAAATAGAGGTGTTTGAATGGGTCACATTACTCAAAATCCCTTTGTGGGTGAAGGTAGAGGAAAGCTAGATTTTTATTTCGAATCATTGGTCTGTAAATATACTCGACAGTGAATTATTTGATGAAGTTTTGTGTGTAAAAAAATATGTCACAAACGAAAAGATCGACGAATGGCGACAGAATAACAAGCCCTGCCATCAAAAGTAGGTTGAGATTTTTGAACATTTTACAGCAAAAAATTGCTTTCAAAAACATTTGTAAAATCGTAGAATTTTCTTTGTCTCCCTGGATCTAATGCATCGTCGAACGAATATTTTCATTGGTGAATAATATGTGGATGAATGAAAAAACCCAGCTAAAAGTAAGCACATTATTTCTGTCAAATACAACTGTCAAATGAACTTTATAGAATTTTATGACTTTTTAAAGCGTGAACCAGTGCTATTAAAAAAAAATTAATTCTGCTGAAAAGTATCAAAATTAATGTTATTTGAATTTTTACAATGTGTATGTATGTGTAATAAATGTTATAAACTTATGAATTTTATAAGATCTTTTAATTTTCTTCGAAATGTCCTTTATTTTCCCCCAAAAAATATGGTCACCGTATATATAATACAATTATTCACGAACATAAACCAATCAGCATAATGTGGCAATTCGTCGTAGCACTGTACTTTCCTTAAATCTATGTTTGTTTTGTGCAATTTTGGAAAAAAATATAACATTGTGGATGCCAAAGGAAATATCAACTTGGCTTGGCAAGAATTAACTGATAAATGCATGAATGGAGCATGGAAGAAGTTATGGCTGGAGGTATCCAAGTATTCTCAACAGCTTTTCTTGTTGAGAATCTTGTTGTCAACCTAATCGATACAACAGGACTAGATGTAGACAAGCAGGATATTGAGGAGTTACTGCAGGTTTCTGGGGAGAGCCTTACCAATGATAACCTTCAAGAATTGGTAGAACAAGGAATTCATGTAGAACTGGAAAATAGAGATTGTGAAAACAAAAAACTCAAAGAATTTCTCTACAGATTTTTTTAGTAAAAATTTAATAATGATAACTGAAATCGTTGATAAAATTGTAGCGAATGATCCAGATTTTGAAAGGAGTGCAAAAGCAAGACGAGGCATTTTGGATGCAATCTATTGCTACCAACATTTGCTTAAGGAAAAAAGTGAAAAATGAAACTACAAGACTTTATTGCAAAAAACAAAAGTCAGGACTACATAATAACTCTAGATATCTTCTGTATTGAAGTTTATGACTATACAAACTTCAATATACAGTAGAAGATATCCAGAGTTATCATGTAATCATATGCAAATGAAATTGGAGAACTCAAAACTACCACTAAAGGGCCAGACCAGTTATAAATAAGCTAAGGACGTGATAGCATGGTGAGAAAATTGTACTTTTGTTTTTAATGTGAAAACGTCAGATCGTCCAGTAAAAGGCTGACGTTTGATATCATTTTTAACTTTGCATGAATTTTTATTTATTGTCGTTGGTCTTTTTAATGAAGTTTTTCTTCAAGCTGTTTATAACTGTTACTTCTGTGATTGGTGTTAAATGGATAAAAAAAAGATAGATTTAAAAAGTCAGGACCTTCATCACAAGAAATGAACTTTACATTTCTGTGTGCATATGTTTGTGTGTTATTTAACATATTATTATGCAAATTAATATAACAATAACTTAAAGTTGAAGTAAAATTTGTTTATTTTTGGTCGCGTGTTCTCCTTTCCCTACTTACTCTATGTTAAAATGACCTCGTTTAACACAGTTTCATCTAGCGCTTTGTTGTCTAGAAATGCATCCCCACATTAATTAAGCAGAGTCTTACTTCTTTACTGTATATATGTATGTATGGAAAATTTTGATAAATAAGTAAAAGTCACTTAAATGTTCATCTAATCAAAAAGCATTTATAGAAAATTTTAGCATAGAAAAATTTAAAAATTCTGAAACAGGACAGTAGCATTTTTAATGAAATGAACATTTGTAATATAATTAGAATGTAACTTTTACATAAATTAATGTCAGATGTTTAAATTTATATACCTAATTTTAATATTGAAATATTTCTTAATAAAATTAATTAGTTGTGAAGGAGTATTTAACAGTTAAAAATTAAGTTACAATAATGTTACTTAATCATAATACCATGTAATATTAAAGTAAGAAAATGGAGTAAAATTTTCAACACAATTTAAAATTTAAAGTTTAAATAATAGTCAAAATAGCTATTACTACTACTACATACTTTATATAGAGTAAAAACAATTTTCTGATTTTTCTTTTTTCTAAACAATTTAAATTTTACAGATTTCACAAACCACACGATTCACTCATAAGTTAAATTTTTATTCATATTTTTTTCAACATAAATCTTGGTAACAAGTTTTTCTTCTTCCATAAAAATCTTTGACCTAAAAAAACAAAATTCATTTATTTTAAATGTAAATATCAGGAAAAAAAATTTAAGTTTAACATTTTAAATAATGATAAGCAAAATTTACTTTATAACAAAAATTTGAAGCAAGAATTATTATTAAATTAGTCAATTAATAAAAAGTACTAGTAAAAGTCACTTTTTATTTGTTTAAACATTCTATTGCTCTATTGAGTTTTAATTTAGAGTAAGTAATCAAAGTTTAATAGAACATTTTTAAATTATGTCAATTTAACTAAATAATTTTAACCAAAAAGTAAACATGAAATATTAATTTTATGATAAGTTTATAATTTTTTTAAAACCTCAAATTATTTTTGTATACTTTATCAAAAAAAACTTACAAATATTTATCTACATGCAAAGCATACTACAGTAATATTATTATTCTGTATCATTTAACACAGGTTTTACCAAATTAAATTATTCGCAATCCTACTACAGCTGTTTGCATAATATAATTTTTTACGTTTGATCAATTAAATCATTACATAATTGAATAAAAGATATTTTTATGTGGCATGTTCTGTTTTAATAACTACTTTATTAATACGATATAATATATTTTTCAATTTTAAATAATTAGAGTAATTGTATTTTGTAAAATTGATTTGATAAAATACAAAGCCAAAATTTTTAAAAATTACTTAAATATTACATATAATATTTAATTTACATTTAATTTAGATTTAATTAATGATATAATATAACAACAAAATAAATTACTGGAGTCAAATAATTTTTTCTAATATAAATATTTGAAAATAACTTTTGTGAATAATTATTCTTATTTAAAATAGTAAATATAAGAAGTCAAATATAATTAACATATTCAATAAAAAGTTAGATGTATGTCTGAAAATATATAACTTTAAAATAAGTCCAAAATAAAAAATTAATATTTTAAAATAACACAATAAATTTTTTTGAACTGACTTTTCAAGTATTTCAAGGTTGTTATAAATCAGTTGTAACTACCCATTTTTTACTTGTTTTGAATTGTGTAATAATTTTTTTAAATTTTATATTTGAAAATATAAATAACAATTTACTGTATTTTCACATGGATAACCTATGGGCTATCTACACTTAAAAAGAGAATTTGAAAGGTATGCAATAGATAGGTTATACAAAAATTTTATTTTTGTTGTAGCAATTTTCTACAGGTTGTACACATGAAAATATAGTAGTAGTTATTGTTATTATTTTTAATTTTTAAAAATTTTATATATAAGTGGATAAACCTTTTAAAAGAGTTCATTTCATACACTTAAAATATATTGTAAAAGATGCCAAAACTTAAAGGAAAAAAAAATGTATCACAAAATAACACTTTTATAAGTTATTACATTACATGAGGCGTCTCAAACTTTTTTCTGTGAAGAGCCAACCAAGTTGTAAAAGACAAGTCTGTGAGCCAGGTACAAGAGATAAATCAAATTTTAAGATTTTTTATATTTCTGAATAACAACAGATAAAATCAATGTGAAATTTGCAACTGCTTTTTTTGAAAGAATGTCATCAAAATTAAAATAAATTTTGTGGCATCCAATATTAAAATCTCCTTTAGATATTTATTGTACAGTGATGTTCATATTTTTTTTATACATTTTATTTTTAAAGAGATATGTAAATTCAAAAACACAAAATACCCCCCTGAAAATTTAAGATTTAAAATTGTCTCTGGCATAGATTAGTAAAAAATTTAACAAACTTCCCTTTTTAAATGAGTTTTTATATTTGCAGCAAGGTCTATTAATTAACAATAAGCAAAAGTTCATATGCTCAAATATTGATAAAGCATGTCAGTGAAAACAATCTATATGGCTGGATCATTTATTCTTCAAGAGTTGTATTTGGCCCATGGGATATTTGATGAAGAGATCCTTGCATTACACATACACAAGATTAAATGAAAGTCACTTTAACATTTGATTCATATCATTACAATTTCTGTACTAATAAAAAATTTTATTTTTATTAGATAAATTTATTACAATTTACCATTATTTTTCATTATATTAATCTTTATAACCTATTTTCAATTTCCCATCAATTTATTATGCATCTTAATGCTAAAATGTTATAGATTAACAAGTATCATTGTAATGAAAACCTCAGTTTAATGAAATAAGTTCATTTTGCATTTTCAGCTATAAAAATTTATAGCTGAAAATGCAAAATTTAATATTATTTTCAACTATAAATTTCTTGAATTGAATTTATTTACAAAAATAAGTTAATAATCATTCATATAGTAGCTAAACTTATTTTAATTAAGGTAAAAACATTATCTACAATATTTTGGATTTTTAATACTTTTTAGAAATTCTAATATTTTAAGTATAAATTAACTGATTAGTTATTGAGTTATTGTTGTCAATTAAATAAATTAAATTTATAACAATAAAATCTCTTATATAATAAAACAATGTTCAACAAAAACTACAGTTAACTCACATTAATGCAAATCACTAAGGAAACAGTATATATAATACGCTTCTTGTCTAGTCTTTGTATTGACTTGTGAGCACTAAAATTGGCCTCTCTACCACTAGACTTATTACACCATCACAGGACATCAAATTAGACTTTTTTTTTTAAATGTGTTTTTCTACGTCTAATTTGATGTCCTGTGGTGGTGTAATAAGTCTAGTGGTAAAGAGAGGCCAATTTTAGTGCTCACAAGTCAATAGGGAAACAGTAGTTAGTTCACTTTATCAAAAATTTGTATTAACGATTTTCAGGGTCAAGGTTATATAATTTATTAAGTTAAGGATTAATTGGCAATTGAAATCTCTAAATTATAATATTTTGAATTAATTTACTAGTAAAGTTTAAAATAAAATTGAATTTAATAAAGTAAAAATTGCATTACGAATACTAGTTGTATCTTGCTTGCTCGCCATGTCCAATCACCTGGAACAACTAGTATTTGTAATGCAATTTTTACTTTATTAAATTGTAATTTCCACCAGCCCTTTTTTACAAAAAAATGTTATATTTTTAATTGTGTTGGGATTGTCACCTGAGGACATTTTAGACTATTTTACATATTTGTGCAGAGCTGTAGCCTACAAAGTAAGGTCATCTCTGCAGTGAAGAATAGTTGTTCCAGGTGATTGGACATGGCAAGCAAGCAAGATACGACTAGTATTTGTAATGCATTTTTACTTTATTAAATTGTAATTTCCGCCAGCCCTTTTTTACAATAAAATTGAATTTGTTTAAAAAAATAAGTTAATGATCCAAATGTAAACAAACATCACCACTAAACCCGATATATTATAAAGCTACACACCAACCAATGCCAAATATTATTGGGCAAATTGTCTCATAATTTATTATTATAATAGCTGTTTCTAGCCGATAATATTCAGCATTGGTTGGTATGTAGCTTTATGATTTATATGATTTTCAAATCAAACAAAATGAGGAGATGGTATTTGCCATTAAAATGTGAAGCAGTATATCAGAATAGTTAAACAAAACAAAGCTAAAAGAAATCTGATATTTTTTTTTTGTTGAAGATTGTTTGAAAAATAAATATTTTTTGGTGCCAAGAGTAAAAAAAAATTCAAATTTGGCACAAAGTAGCCAAACCTGGCATCACTTATGCACCCCCATATATAAACTTGTAGGTGTTTGCATGGGACCACATCCTTTTTAAGGGGTGGGCATCCTTAAACTCCTTAAGTGCCAATTTTTTGTCTCGAGTATGACAGCGGGCCAGATTAAAAATAAAATGCAAATGTAATACTGAGTATAAATAAGAAGTATATAAAGAATGATTTTATTAAAGAAAAAAAAATTATAATTTTTTTAAGTCGTCAAGGTTCTGGATCCTCAAAATATTATTTTGAGGATCCAGAAACTTGACGACTTCTACACTTTATTATCTCCTCAATGATTGGTGTCAGCTATGTTGTATTGATTTTCAAAATGAATTAAAGATGTTCATCTGTAAGTCTTGAACGGTATTTAGATTTATTAATCTTTATTGTTGAAAACAACTGTTCACACACATATGAACTTCCAAACATGCATAAAATGCAGGCAGCATGGTTCTTTAAGTTTGAATAGATATTTTGATTTTTGAAGTACTTTGTATAAAATGCCAAAATGTCAACTTCATTGAACTTGCTTTTTAAAGCAGTATCACACTGCAAATCTATTAGTTCCATTTGCAAGTAAGTCAGTGCTTTACCAACATTGAATGTAAACAGATCATTAAAAAGAGGAAAGTCATAGGTATTGAGCTCACAAAAATCTGCAAAACGACTATCAAATTCAGCAATAAGATCAAGCAAACGGTAAGAAAAATCTGCTAATTTATCTGCATTGTACATGCTGATTTCACGAATGCTAAGGAAATGGTCAAGTTTTTGTTCTCGCAGCTGCGATTCCCACAACTTTAATTTTATTTTGAAAGCTTGAACACTTGACTACAGTTGCACAACAATTACATTTTTTCCTTGAAGTTTAACATTCAAATTATTCAAGTGTTCCGTCATATCTACTAAGAATGCAAAGTCAAGCCACCATTCATCACTGTGTTCCATTGGTTTGTCCTTTTGAGCCATAAACGTAACAACATGTTTACGCAATTCGAAAAATTGTTTAATTAAGCATTGATCCATGACTAAGTCACCGTACTTCTGCAAAGTAGGGAATATCTGAACATTTTTCATCAAGATCATTTAAAAATTGTGTGTATTGGTAGTGATTTAGTCCTCTACTTTTAATAAAATTAACTGTTTTAATTATGGGATTCATTACATGATCCATTTTCAGCACTTTAGAGGCCAAGACTTCTTGATGCACAATACAGTGAATTCAACGAATTTGGGTCATTCACCTTTAATTTCATTTAAAATTTTGTTCTGTATTTTTGTGACAACACCAGCAATTTTACTGACCATGGATGGTGGGTGACCCATCTATGGTAATACTGCAGAATTTACTCCAATCCAAGTC